CGACGAGACTCTCTCGTGATGACAAAGGTCAGCTCTCCGCCGGCGAGCGATGGAAGAAGGGGGAGGAGGGGGAGGAAGGGGGAGGCAGGCGCATGCCGAGCGGAGGCAGGGCCGTGTCGCTGCGAGAGTTGAGGTCGACTGGTCGCTGTGGAGCTGGTGGAAGCCCGAGAGGAGCTGGTCGAGACGAAGGGAGGGAGGGAGGGAGGGACGAGAGGGGTCTGTCAGTGCCGCCCTCGGACCCGACGCCAAGAGGAGGGAGAGAGCGAGCGACGCACCGACACGAGCGGGCTCTGGCTGAGCGTCATGACCCAGTACCTGTTCCACAGCGAGTCGAGCAGGCGCGCGTCGTGCGAGCTCTTGAAGTGCGACACCTCGAGCGGGTAGTAGCTCGCGGCGTGCACGCCAAAGTCGTCAATCTTGTCCTGCGGGATCGACTGGTACTCGGACGCGGCCGCGTGCGGCGGCGTGTAGCCCTGTGTGCGTCGGGGCGTGCGAGTGTGAGCGAGAGGTGAGGCTCTCGGGGTGGCTTGCGAGGGGAGAGATGGAGGAGGGACGCACCTCGGGGTACGTGCGGAACGCGCCAATCTCGACCTTGCCCGCCGACACGGTGCGGTTCGGGTCGATCTGCGTGCGCGACGGGCTCGCGCGTCAGTGAGCTGCACAGGCGAACAGGGCGCCGAGGCAGTCTCGCGAGAGAGAAACGAGCGCGACGCACGACGACGGCGAGGAACGGGTCCTGGAACTGCTGGTTCGTCTTTTGCGTCATGACGTCGATGCCCGAGAGCCAGCAGCCGTAGCCCGGGTGCGAGTGGTACCACCCGACAATGTTCTCCGGGCGGCCGATCTGTGGGCGCACGAGGGAGGGGGAGAGAGAGTGCGTCAAGGAGGGTTCGTGCGCTTGCCCGCTCGCCCACGCCGCCAAAGAGAGAGAGAGGGGGGGGGGGGGGGGGGGGGGGCCGCGCCCGTCCCGACGTTCGATGTACTGGATCATGAACTCCGTTGGCGGGTTGGGGGTGGGGGGAAGGATGTATTTTGCGTGTC